CAATTTCTTTGGGCTTGGTCTCTTGTTCTTCCTCTTTTGAGTACACAAATCCTTCAAGAACTTCGCATATGGTTGAATTTGTCGAATAGCATCAAGAAGATGAAGGTTGATTTTAATTTGTTTAATAACTTCCATCATGTCATGGATTTTTCCTTCTTACCTAAAAAATGGAGTAGAGTTTAAAGCGTGAGTAAATGGAGCTTTTGGCTCATAAGGCTTCTCCATATGGGAGGAAGATGTTGATGATGGAATTTGCTCCTTAATGTGACCACTTGCCTCTAGTGAAGTAGGAATGGAATTGGGAATGGTAAATGGGCTAACATTTGGTTGCTCCGGAACACTAACTTCACTAGGTCTCTCAACTTTGTTATTAATTTTTCTCTCACTCCTCAAGGTGGAAATAGAGTATGCCTTTCGATTAAGCTTGGGTTGCATAGGTCCTTTACCTTTCATTGATTGAATCATTTGCCCTATTTGGACTTCAAGCTTTGCAATTGATTGACAATGCGAATGAAACACTTGATTTTCCTTTCAAACATCACCGAAAGCTTCTAAAACCTTGTCCTAAAAATTGGAATTTCTAGGAGGCTCTTGAGGTGGATGAGAGTAAGATTGATGATTCGAAGATTGAGAATTGAAGAATTGATTCACATTTGGGAGAGGATAAAATGGAGATTGTATGCTTGGGACTTTGCAATTCGGAGGTGGGGAGTCACATACTTTTCTTGGGAATTTTTATGAAGGGAAGGAATGATTCCTCCTCCTTGATTTCAACAAGAAAAGTTAGGATCACTCCATCCGGGATTGTAGGAGTTGGAATATGGACTAATTTCTAGATGAATGAAAGCGGCGTTGACTTGTTCTTAATACTCAATCGGAAAAACCTTGCCTAAGAGGACAATTGGAAGTATTTTGAGTATAACTAGAGCAAGTCATGCACATTACACTTTGAGAATGGAAAGAGTTGAATGATTGAATTGCCGGGTTTTGGCTCAAAAGGAATTTATCAAACCTTTGAGTAAGATTTTTGACCTCGGCTACAATCTCCATGGAACCCTCCACTTGAGAAAGATTGGAGGTTTTCTTCCTTTCTTTATTCAAATTTTGGCCCAATCGGGATGATGAAGAACAATGCATTGAATTTTCGCTTATGCGATTAAAAAGATGCCAAACATCATCTTCATTTTTATCCAAATAGGCTCCTCCACATGAAGCATCAACCATACCTTTTGGGGTATCGGATAAGCTTTCATAGAAGCAGCGAACTAATTGCCACTTTAGAATGTCATGATGTGGACACTTCCGTAACAAATCGTTCAAACACTCCCATGCTTCATGCAAAGGTTCTCCCTCTCTATGGGAGAATTCACGGATAGAAGCTCTCATAGCATCGGTTCTACTTGCGGGGTAATTTTTTTTTAGGAATTCACATAGTAGTTGAACCCAAGATGTGATTGAATTTGCCATCGAGTTGTTGAACCAATATTTAGCCTTTTCCAGAAGAGTGAAATGGAAAAGCTTCATTTTTAAGACTTTTTCTGGAAGATTCATGATTTTCACGGTTGAACAAACTTCCAAAAACTCATCCAAATGTTTATATGGTTCTTTATTGTTTAACCCATAGAAAATGGGGCATATTTGGATGGTTGCGGGCTTGATTTCATAATGGGATGCCCGAAAGTTTGGCAACCGGATGCATGTTAGTGCATTATATTCATTGGGAGTGTAGTGATCTCGAAGAGATAATCGAGGATTGGGGGGATACACTACATGACTTTGAGGATGGATTGGTATTATTGGAGGTTGTTGCATTTGATTTGGTTGTGGAAACACATTAGGATGGGGAATTCTCAAGAGTGGATACACATCTTGAGGTGGATGCCCACTAAGAGGATGATACACACCTAAATTATCCATATGCCCTAGATCTTAGAAATGGTTTTCTATTAAGTGTGGGATTGTCAAGAATGGGAAGAATTCTTCTAGAAACAATAAACCACAACAACAATCAACAACAATTCACCACCTCCACATACGATGTTCCCATACTCCCATGCTATATCAATGCACAAAATTAAATTGCCTCCACATGGGCCGATGCTTTCTATCAAGAAAATAATAGCCTCCTTTTGGTTTATGCTTGGACAAGAATTTAAGCAATGTGATAGCCACGACAAGGGCTATCTCGCAAGCATACAGAAAATTGAACAATTATAGTAAAAAAAAAATCAAAGAAGCTCACGAAAGTCCCTAGCAATAATGTCACAATGGTGTCAAGATCCAATGCTTGCTCCTCTTCTTTTCAAGTACCTAATTGAACAAGAAGGATTAGTAAGAAAATAGTAATTTAAAGAAAACAATCAAATTAGCCCTAATGCCTAATTCAATTCCAACTAAACCATCAATCCCTGGCAACGGCGCCAAAATTATGTTACGACCCGAGCGTGTGCACAAAATAATGCACAACACTTTGGTTTTGGAAATGGTATCAAATGGGCATCATACTTTAAATTTATATAAAAGCCGCTTAACACCTATACCATCAAGTATGAAGTGAGAAGGGATCATTCCTAATGGATTGAATACGTGTTGGGATTAAACTTGGTTTCAAAGTTAATTAGATTGTAAAAGAGAGAAGAGAGGGAAAGAGTTTGAGATAAAAAGATTTTTGGTGAAGTGATTAAACTAGAGTTCAATTTAAAGCATGGAAATGGAAATGACAATGCAAGTAAATTAAACTAAGAATTAAAGAGATAGGAAGAGAGTCTTAGGGTTAGGATTCACCACTAAGCTCATGTAATTAACCATTTGCTTTCAATTAATGGGGAAATCATTAGTGTAATTATAGATGTAGCCACAATATCATTACAAATCACAATTGTAAGCATAGATTTTCAACATCAAGAATGAGTTGTCTACTTAATGATAATTAAACTAAAGTATAGAACCCATTCAAGACTACGTCATAACCCACCATACACATTCACAAATGTATCCAATAAGAGCACACACCAATCAAGATAATAATACTAATTGTAATTAGAAGTATGGATTAACATAATCAAGCACAAATTGCCTATTTAACTACAATTAACTAATAACAAGTAAGCTTATTTGTAAAACAACTCATCAAGATTGAGTTTTTATCCATCAAATTAATTGACAATTGTATCACATAAGTACTATGCCATGGCCATCACTAAACACAACTACAAAAAGTATCTAGTGTAGAGTATAATTTTAAGTCAATCACACATAGACATGCAATTTACATATAAAATCAATGGAAGAATTAATTTTCAATCATCTAATGAAGAATAAAATCTCTAATTAATTATACATAGACTTATAATCAACTAGAGATTTCAATGGTAGAATTTATCAAATTAAGCCCTAATTTGTCAAATCAAGCATGTATATATAACGAAATCACAAGGCCACACATTTAATTACAACATATTAATTCCCCAAGAAAAGAAATACAAAGGTTTAGGTTACATAAACTTAGGGCTCATCCAAGCCCTTAGTGAAGAACTAGCTCATGGAGGAGATGATCATAGTGTCAACAAGCCCAATCCCCATCTTTGACTCCTTCTTCTTCTTCCTTGAATATTTCTCAAAACCCTTTCTTTTTTTTTTTTCTTTTTTTTTTTTTCATGTTTTCCAGAGAGAACATGATATTGATTCCAGAAAAATAAAATGTAATATTCAAATAATAAAAATTAACTCCTCAACTAATGGGTCCTTCTTTCCCTTAAATACAAACCCTATTGGAGGCCAATAGTTCACAAAAAAAGCCCCAACAAGAAAATCCTGTAGCCAAGTAAATAATAAAATTCTTTTTAGACCTGTTTAACTCCATTTTGGCCCCGGGCTAATCTGCGTACTTCTTAATCGTTAGGAACATCATCAAAGACCCGAAAAAAGGTAGAATTGACCACTTTTAAAGAATAAGCACACTATATGAACAATGGGTTACTGCCTCCTTTTGCCATTTTGTAAGCTTTTTCCGACTGCCTTTGCTTGACTCCAAAAAGGTTTTAATGAACCGAAATTAGTTCGTTTGAACCTTATTGACCTGAAATTGATAAAAACATAAATTAGAACTAAAATATGCAAGTAGGATAGATGCAAGGACTAAAATACCCTAGCTTAGGTACTGAAATGTGCAACATTTAAGGACTTATCATATATATATACACACATAAGTTCAGCAAACAAGGTACAACACATAACATCAGTTGGCTCGACAAACACAGATAACGATACAACAAATCTGATAATTATATATATACAAACAGTTTCTTGACACTTGTTCAAAAACAGGTACACGAATTAAAACAGTGTTCGTATATCATAAATTAAAATTATATAATTATTTAATATTAATTTAAACTTACACATATTATTTATACAATGATAATGGAAAAAAAAAAATGAGTTCCATAACTATGGGCTCTGATACCACATGTAAACTCTAATTAATTTGTGTTAGACTTGGATCATAAATAATCCTAAATCCTTAGATCTTAGAACTTCAATTAATTTCACATTCTTATAACGTATAAATATATATAGTTAGATATACATACCTCGATTCATGATATCAAACCTTATTGAGACTAAATCCAACATCTAGATCCTTTAACCACGAACTAATTTGCAACTCTGATCAACAGGTAAAGGTAGAAACTGGTTTTTCTCTCTTAGCCTTTTGCACACATAAAACTTTTATGTGTTGTATCAGTAATCGTATATAATTGATGGAGTATATGCACTTTTATAAAGGTAGAGAGATGACCAGTTTTTCTTTTAGTAACATAATTTTACTTTCCATCAAAGTAAGCAATGAGAAGGAAAACACTTCTCCAATAAGTAATTACCAAAAAGGTAATTATAAGTTGACCAAAATAAATAATATTAATTGATATCTATTTACTTAGCCACCAAGTAATATGTCACATGTCCAAATCATGTGGGCCACAATTAAATAAATAATCTTACAAAAGGTAGTCAAGATTGGGTAGAGTCCGGCCTATACTTGATGAAAGATTGTCTGTAAGGTGTTTCTCAACGAGTCCGATCTCTTTTAGTGTTGAGATATTGAACATTGTTACTCGGATAAGTCCTGTTAAGCTATTAAATTCTAAAAATATGGTTTCCAACTCATAAAGGTTGCCAACCTCTTGTGGTATCACACCTGGTAATCCATGTAAAAGAACATTGAAATGTAAGGTTAATTCATGGGAAATGATTAGAGAGGAATCATAAGAACCGACACCTAAACTGAATCAATGAATAAAAAAAGAGCTAAAAAGTAGAAGACTTCGATAACGAATATTTGTAGCTCATATTAGCATGTACAGAATCAATAAATAAAGAAAGAGTTAAACAGATTGATTTTCTAGAAGTTGTTATAGAGAACTACCCAATACAATTATTTGAAAATAGACATTTTTTAACTAAATTTTGAATAAAAAATTAAAATTCCAAAAAATTGATGGTCAAACAAATTTTTGTACAAGTTTCCAATTTTCACATAATGGAAAACACTGTTCTAGAAAAGGTAAACAAATAAGTGCATAACAAAGGATGGCAATGGAGCGATTTGTGGCGAGGAACCCCATCCCCATCTAAAACCACTTATTAAATAGGGCGGAGACGAGTTTGACGAGTTTTTATTTTATTTATTTATTTTTTAAGTACTTTCATAATTATATTACTAATTTAACAAAAGTAAATAATGAAACAAATTTTCATCTATGGTAATAATTTTTTTTTTTCTCTTTTGAGGATAGAATTTAGATTCAACTTCTCAACGGGCTAGTGGCCTAGTGTAACAGGTGAACGCTTGCTCATTTACCCAAAAGTTATAGCTGTTGGGTAGTATTACATATCCATTACCCACCCATTTATACACAATTATTTTCTCATCTGGATCCTTTCTTTCCAAAGGGAGGTCAGGGGTTCAAGCCTTAGTGGAGGCATGTGTGTGTGACTACCAATTAGGAATATAATATTATTGTAGGAACATCAAAATAATACATATAAGTTCTCAAATAAGAATAATACAAAATGATATTTAGTGATTCGAATAGGATAAACTAAGATTTACTTAATATATACCTAATATTATTGAATATATATATATATATATATATATATATATATATATATATAATTTATCACTATAAACGAGTGTGGCGGGGCAACCCATCCCCGTCCCATAACTAGGGATGGCAACGGGGCGAGGCGGGGATTCCATTCCCCATCCTCATCCCCAATGAATTTTTCAATCCACATCCCTGCCCCCATCCCCGCTTAAAATTTCACAACTATCCCTGTACCTACCACCGCCCCCGACTCCTCATCCCCGTCCCCGCCCCGGCCCCAGCCCCATAAATTTTTTTTAATAAAAAAAACACATTTTTTCTTATTTTCATATATATACTAAATCTAATTTAGCAATAAATTATTATATGTAAGGGTATATTAGTAACTTTATACTTAATAGGGGTGGGGCGGGGCGGGGCGGGTTTACCCCATCCCTGCTCCCGGCCACGGCGAGGATTCATAATTTGTCCCCATCTCCATCCCCGTTTAGCTAAAAGAATCTCCATCCCTGCTATAGACGGGGTGGGGTGGGCTGGGGCCCCGGCAAGGATGGTAAATTTGCCATCCCTACCCATAACTATGCTGATTTTCAATCCTATCCCCATCCCCGCCCAAAAACCATTTAACAACCCCATAATCATTCTAACGAGGCAAGTATTTTGCCTTGCCATCCCTAATAACAATCCGTTTGGAGAGTAATCAAAGTGGCCTCTTGTGCCTTCCTAACCCAAATATTGAATCCTCGCTTGTAGAAATAGTATTTTCCTACAAGACAACTATACTATCTTCACGTACACAGCATAATTTATAAAAATTTTATTTTCAAACAAAAAAGGGAGGGGCATGCACAAGGCGCCCGAGCCATGTCTTTCAAGTTCAAAGTTCGTAGCTCATAGGAGCTCTCACTGGAGGGGCTGTGTCTAGTCGGCATGAAGCGGATCGACGAGAATAGCAAAACTCAATTTGGGGAAAAAATGATAAAATAAAAAAATTATAGTGGAACAAAAGTTCAAAACACAACTAGTGAAAGTTGCCCGAGCATATATAGGGGTCATACCTCTCAGGTTATTATCTCGAAGATGAATAACTTTTAAAGAATTAATGTTAAATATGGAAGATGGAATAACATCATTGAGATTAGCACTTAGCATTGATAATCTCTCCAAATTAAGAAGATTACCAATTTCTTTCGGAATTTCACCTGCAAAAGAATTTCGAAATAATACATTTAAGTTCTCAAATAAGAATAATACAAAATGATATTTTGTGTTTTTTAAAGTTCAATTTAATTTGTCTGGATATATATATTCATTTTTTTTTTGTAAAAACCTGACAAGTTTATCACCCCTAAATGTTTGTCAGTTTGTTTTTTGTTTTTTTCTTCCTTGGGTTGGGTAAAGAATTACCCATAAATGTTGTTTACCTTTTAAATTGTTAAAAAGTTTATTTATATCTCTATGGCTATTCCATGAATTAATTTTTGGTTAAACAGAATGCAGACAAGGACCTGTCATAACACGTTATTTTTGAAGCTTCCAATCTATGGCTACTTCATGAAGTAAGATTGGAAGCTTGAAAAGGAAAAACTTGAGAGCACAAACAATGAACCTTTCCGGAAAAAGAGAAAGAAACGGCTATATACCAAATTGATAAAATTAAATAAAAATGAAAGGTAGTATGTGTAATAGTACTTTTGAGGTTGTTATAGCCAAGTAGTAACGTCTTAAGCAAAGTTGAATTCGGAATCCCTCTTAGCTAAACAAGACAAAAGACAGTGCACAAACAACACTGCATGCAAAAGAGCAAACCAAGATTTCTCCATGAGCTAGTGTATGTGATTAATGTGGAATACCAACTCAGTTTGCAAGACATATAACATAAATTTTCTGAATATCTTCTTGCTTTAATGCAGTAAAGAAATATTGGATGTCAAGTCAATGGTATATAATTGAGTTCAACATTGACAAATTGGTCAATGATGATTACTGTGACGTATTAGCCTTCACATTAATTGAGCTTGACGCCAATTCAGCATTTATAGTCTATGATTTCACTTTAGTAAGGATCTGTATTGAAGTTTGACTATTTATTGAGATAACTTAGTAAGGATAAGAACAATTTACACAAGGCTCGGTGCTCCTTTGTTTGAATAGAAAATGTTTTATTTATTTTTTGAAGTTTGGTTATCATAAAATATAATATTTATGAAAAAATAGATATTAAAATTTAACAAAAATAATTTATCCTTTGACAAATTATTTTACATTCGTTCATTTTTTTAATACACAATTCATACATGGATTATTTTACATTCTTAACTTTTATTAAATTACCTAAATTAATTTAAACATAAACTATAAATATGTTTTAAATTAGCCATGTCATTTTATAAAAAATTCAACTTATGATAAATTTAAAAAGTTTTAATTTAGAGAGTTTAAGTCCAATTTTTTAATACACAAGTCGTAGACGGCTCATTAAATGGAAGGTGGCCTAACTAATTGAAACTCGCGAGGAGCTGCTTTTATTGACATAACTACCATCTCGTAGACAGTGGAGCTATCATGTTGAACTTGACCTAACTACCATCTCGTAGATAGTGGAGCTATCATGTTGAACTTGACCTACCACCATCTCAGTGACTCTGTGCTATCATGCGATTGATGGTCATTAGTCTTTTCCAAATTTGCCAGGAATTATAGTTAATGGAGAAATTATTATTATTATTGGCCACTTATTAATTCCCCTACGATGAAATTAGAATGGTCCAGGTAACTATCAATCCAAATTGAAATTTGAGGCATTGAAGCTAGGCAATTAAGTGAAGTTTTTCAATTACATACCACATTTGTAACTAGTTTTCAAGCGACTTCAGCATTTCAAAACTTCTATGCAAAGGTTTTGACCTTTTCCACAATTAGATAAATAAAAAATTAGTGATTTACAACCCAAAAAAAATAAAATTTGTGTGCAAAAACAGAATTAACATTGATTCTTTCAGATTTCATCTCACAATTTTTGTTTAATTGAAGTTCGATCTTCTTGAGTGCTACTACTACTAGAGCTCCTTTCATGTTGATCCTCGTTTGCGGTGATTCTCCAGAGCAATTCAAAGCCAATTCCGTAATGGATGATACAAATTGCACCTTTGCAATGTAGTCCTCCGCCTCCGCCTCTAGCCTTACCAAGTTGGAATCTACAACCTAAATTATTGAATGGGGTAGTGACTCATTTACCCAACCATTGAGTGCTAGATCTCCCGTAAATAAATCATTAGTGGTTTTCTTCTAGTAAATTAATGTTTTCATCAACATAATACCATAATTGTAAATGTCACACTTTATTGATACTAATCCTTTCAATCCACACTTTACATCCAACATAATAATTTATCAATGAATTGATGCGTTGAGATGAAAGAAATTTTGTTATGAGAAAAAGAATTCTAGAACTAGGATTTGAACAAAAATTGAAGCTAAAAGCTTTACTTGGTGAAATATACCCAAATGTGGCTGCTGTCTTGGTTAGTGCAATTTTTCTTTTCATTTTTTTTCCAGAGTAAATTTTTTAAAAGGGGTGCAACACAAGGACTTGTCCAGGTCACCCATCTTAGTATAATTCTCGTCCAAACACACTTAACTAAAAAGGAAACATATGGGCTCCACATGTAAAAGTTGAAAAGAAAGAAACAAATGTGATTTTGTTTGTGCGTGAGAGAGATCCCTATATATGGAATGTGATATATATGTGTGTCTTACAGAGTTGAAAGTAAATGTTTTCATGTGAAACCCAAATAGTATTGTATAACGCAAAGTAAGAGTTTGTAGTGTGAGTGCCATAAATGGCTACAATAGGAATAGGAATAGGAATGGGAAGGTTTGTTGGTTAAGGTCAGAGATATATATGTGTGTCTTACAGAGTCGAAAGTAAATGTTTTCATGTGAAACCCAAATAGTATTGTATAACGCAAAGTAAGAGTTTGTAGTGTGAGTGCCATAAATGGCTACAATAGGAATAGGAATAGGAATGGGAAGGTTTGTTGGTTAAGGTCAGAGATCTCAAGCTATAGGAGCACTTAGAAGCACTTTTTGTATTGCAAGGTCACCTATAAATATGTACTTGTTGAAGGAAAACACATTCCATCATTTAAGTGAAAAACCTGAAAGTAAAATCGTGTGTACTCGGGCTCAAAGTAAATAATATCATATTATGTGATAGAGTGAATTGTTACAAATGATATCAAAGCCTCACTCTGTCGAAAATGTGGCCAATGGAGACGTTGGGCCCTAAGGGGGTGATTGTGGCAATTTATGTGGGCGGGTGCAAGAGACACTAGCAGGCTATCACATTAGGCGACCTAAATGTGCACAATCCCACATTGCTTGGGTGTGAAAATGGGATGTGCTATATATGTGTGATTTGTATACTCCAATTGGTATGAGGCCTTTTGAAGTAAAATTCAAAAGCAAAACCGTTTGAGCTTGAGTTTAAAGTTGACAATATCATATTAGCGGCATTTTTGAAATTCAAGATCTTTTGCTATTTATTTGTTGAGATTTTCCCCGGGAGTAATATAGATTTGTCTTGCTTATGTGCTTCCCTATTGCTCCGTTCGGTAGAAAGGAAAAAAATTGGATGGAAGGGAGAAAAGAAGAGAAGGATGAAACATCTCTAGAGAAGAGATTATGAACTTCTCTCATTTTGTTCGGTTGGATGGAAGAGAAGAGAAGAAGATGACAACCTATTCTGTTCATTAGGAAAAGGGAGTAGAGAGAATTTCAAATTATTTTTATCATTATACCCAACCCTATTTTTACTACTCATTTGACCATTTATTGTGTTATAAGTACAAATAATTTACTATAATTTGTTGTTAGAATCATATTTCATCATAAAAAAAATAATCGAAAAAATAGGCGACTTGTGTTGAAAAAAAAAAGAACATTAATCATAAAATGTCAATTATTAATTGTTAAGAAAAAGATAGATTGAATTGATTTTAATAATTCTATACTCCATTAAAATGATTCTTGTAAATTAGGAGGGGAGAAGAAATCCAAAGCAAAGGAAAAGGTTAAGATAATTCTATACTATATTTGTCTTCAAGTGCAGAAGAGATAGCTTGCTGAGAGCTACAATTGTTTCAGCCGGAGCAGCAGTTTTGGAAACGTCCTTAGGAATTAGGACTTTGATTCATTCCTTGACAGCCACTTTAGAGAGAGAATAATTTAATCAAATACCTAATGCTCCAATTGAAACGTCCTTATCGGAATGCACTTTGATTCATTCCATGGAATCGTCCTTACAATAATTCCTTGGTAGCCACTTTGATTCATACCTTGGAAATGTCCTTATCGGAATGCTCCAATTGAAGTAATTGATTTAATCCTCTCCGACATATATATATATCACATGAATTTGATCAGTTTATAAATACTGCCGATATCAATAAATTAATCATATTTATATGTGGATCTATGTATATGCATAGAGGATAGCAAGCGAGAGTCTATTACATGCGTGAGAAAGATTGGTTGAGAGAGTCAGAGTTCTTCTTGATAGGGTTTTGCGTGAGATGTGATTGTAGAGTTTATTAATATTTGTGAAGGATGATTTTGTAACTTAACATTTTTATAATAGCTTCACTTGTTTTCTCTCATGTCTTTCGTCCAAATTTGAGTGGATGAATATTTGTAAAGAAGGAGGGATGAGTCATCCCCCCTATTTTCTTTTCTCTCTTTGTCTCTTCCCTACCGAACAAAGGAACTTTGTTCATTTCCTCCTATTTTCCTTCCACCCTCCTTTCTTCTTTCCTACCAAACAGAGCATATAAGATCATAAAGATGAGGGTAGTAAATTCTTTCTAAATGAGCCCCGCTTAGGTACCATGTTCAATCAATCTTGAGCCAACATAGCTTTCTTACTTGCACTTGACCTTCCTTCTTTGAGCAAAGAATGTTGTTGTTCTTGTCAACTCACCGGAAAGCGTTTCTTTCTTCTTTTAACACAGTCGAACACAAGTTTGATTTCACCTTTAACGCTTTTTTAGTTAGGAAACGGGTCGGATTGTTATGTTTCTGATTTTTATCATTTTCCACTTTTCGAAATTTTCTGTGACATTTTTGTCTTTTCTCGTTTTGCATGCCGGACACTGTGGGGTGTGCCGGGTGTGCTCGAGAGTTGGTTGGGGCATTTCATTGA